ACGACGATTTAAGCGACGTCATAACTCATGATTTGTCATTCTACTGTATTTTGATTAGGTTACTGCCGAGTTTTTGACATAGCATGTGATTACAAAGTATTTATAGGTAATGTTTAATACTACAAATTACATTTAAAAACTGGAACCTCAAACTGAAAGGGTGTCTATCACTGACAGTGGAAACAACAAAGGACTGCCTGGTCACAAGTAGCAAGTAGGGACGTCACGAATAACGTTGCATTTCGACATTTTAAATTTACCACGTAAATCACTATATTTTTTCATATTCATATTCATTCAGTTTTTTTTTGTTTTTTGAAAAAATAAACAAAGATATACAGTAATGGACAAAAGTATATAGACATCAAGTCGACATTGCCAAAAATTTGAAGCTGAAGTGTAAAGCTGTTTGGGCAATATTGAACAATAATAAACAAAAAGGTATCATGGAAGCCTCTGTGGTCGGCCTTGAAAACTGAATGCTAGATCAGATAAATTAATAAAAGTAAAAGATCCGTTTAAAACCGCAAGACAAATAAAAGCCGAAATCGAGACAAAAGGAATTGTCAGTGTTTGATTGGAACATCTGTGACTGGAAGAGGGTATGTTTCAGTGACGAATCCAAGTTCAATATGTTGGATCAGATGGTCTTCATACGTTAGACATCCTAGTGGACAAAGGTTGAACCTCAAGTACACTTTGCCACTGTCAGACTGGAGGCGGGTCTGTTATGGTTTTGGGGTGCTTTTCGGGGTTTGGGATGGGACCTTTACATAGATAGATGGCATTATGGATAAGTTTGACCCGAAGCACACTTCAAATCTCGCAAAGAAATTCTTTCTGGATAACCAATACCAGTTCTCAAATGCCTTGACAGTCTCCCAATATAAATCCCATTCAAAATCTATGGGAATACTTAGATAAGCAAATACGAGATAAAAATTATTCAACAAGGATGACCTTTTTGCCGCTTTAGAGGCAAAAGTGGAGACAGATTGATGAATCTTATATCAAGAGACTTCTACAATATATGCCGAGATGATGCCAGCCCGCTGATTGATAATAATAGTTATGCTACAAAATATTAACACAAACATGGTTGGTTTCTATAATTCAATGAACTTGCTTCTTTTATCTATAATTGTTTTGCTTTATCTACATATTTTTGTCCTTCATAGTTCCAGTTTTTTTCAATAATTTTTTATTGAGGGAGTCTAATGAATTTATTTATGTATATGCTATAACGAATTATGTATAGAGGTGTGTTGTATTATAAAACAGAAAAAAGAAATACAGCACAATATTAATTTGTCTATATACTTTGTCCATTACTTAATTAACGTTATCGGGTATCTTTTAGTCCATGAAGTACCTTCGCATCTCTCGGAAAAATATGGTTTTTCGGTATTTTGTCATGGTCCATTCTGGAATTTCAATTTTGATTAATATACTATAACAATAATAATTTATTAGATAATTCTCGTGATTTCACATCTCTAGACATTTTTCTTTTGGGCTAAGTCGTCCCTACAGTTGTAGGGCGCGTTAATGGCCTCCTTGTCGTTGATTGTCATACTCCTTCTCTCCTTCAAAAATTTCTAGATTACACTTGTGCCGTGTTAGCGTCAGCGCTCTCCTATTGTGAAGATATGTTTTCTTTTTAAATTTTAGGAAATTTCAGGCTGATAAAACATGATATAACTCAAAAGCAAGCACAATTTGATGCAAATAGATGTTTGTGACATAACCTCAAAATAGAGCTGACACGGAGAAGTAGAAAACTATGACAATCAAGGAGGCCATAAAGGTGACCTACAATTGTAGGGACGACTGACGATACGGGCCTAAATGCATGGATGTGTCATCAAAAATTGGAATTCCAAGATGAAAGAAAAGAATTAACTTAGTTTGGTAGCCCGACATAGTTAATAGTTTTCAATGTTTTATGCTCCAAATGAATCTACAATTATTTAAAGTTATACAGAGAAATCCATATACCACTGACGTCGTAATGTGTACGCGACTAAAGCGCGCAATACGTGAAAGAGATAGAAGTACTACGTTGCCTAGCAACCCGAGTAAGGAGGCGACGGACGCAGCGGAGGCTTGCCGCGTTGCCAACGTCGCACGTCTAAAGCCGGTTCCAGACAGTACATTCTTCGGCGAATAACGAAGCTTCGTACTTCAAGTTCGCGTTGACTTCCAACCACTTCGTATTTCGGGATATAACAAATATTCTGCAAAGCCTCGATTGTAGTTTTAAAATGGACATAGGCGCGGACCAGCAGGTCGCTGTTTGCTGCAGCTTACATAATATGTGCTGTTCTTTTTTAAATGAAAAAAGTTTAAACGTCGAAAAAGATTGATGTTTCACTCATTTCCGGCGGTCTGTCTGTCTGACGTCTGTCTGTCTGTCCGGTAATCCTTAGCCCCTCTATAACTCGGAAAGTACTGCTCGAAAGTTGATAAAATTTTGACCGCAGTTTAGTACTATAGCATATATATAGTTTTATGGTTTTAAACAATCGGTGCAGTTGCGGCTGTCATCGTCAAAAAACGAAAAAAAAAAATGAAAAGCGCTCAAACTCTGTTTTTGGATGTTTTCGGGGCTCCTGATCACTTTACAACAATTATTTGTAGGGGTAGATAATCGGAGGTGGGGGCAGGTTGGAGAAGGGGGTATCTCTTATATTCTGTCCGTGACACCGCTCGTCAAAGCGCGGGGGAAGTATAGAATCAATCTACTTGACGCCATTTTTTAAAGTAGGTTTTACTTTCAACTTTTTAAGGTACGACTAGGATAAACAGTGTATCAAAAATTTTCCAAAAATTAATTCTCTAGATCTTTGTTCCACTCCATTACTACAAATTGATACTGCACTGATCAGACTAAATATAACGAAGGAGCAGCTTTTACCGCCAATCAGCGAGAAAAAGTTCGTACTACCACGAACTGCGAAGGCGAAGCGAAGCAACTCTCCCACACGGTCCACGAGTAGGCGAATACGGAATGTTCGGCGTAGCTCGTAGTGTCTGGGACCGCCTTAGCGTTGGTGATATAGGGATTTCTCTGTAGAATTTAAAATAACAAACAAGAGAAACTTACCTGTTATGTACGACAAGAACGGGTTATTCGGATTCAGCACCATCGGCCCACTGTCTTCTTCAGATTCTTCATGCATACCAGATAAAAACGGATTTGTGCTGTTACTACCAGTAATACTATGCACTTCATCAACATTCCGTATGTCCTCTTCTACGCCAGGTAAACTAACTACCTCCGAATCCGTGAATTTCGTTTTTTCGGAAACTTCTTGGTCCTCGGGACGACTGCCTGTTAATTCTGCACTATTCACTGTCGATTCAGAACTCTCTTCCTCAATCTCCTCAGATTCACAAACCAACGGTCCAGCGCCATCCTCTTCTGCCTCACATTTTATAATATCTAACTCCCTCATGATATCCTCAGCAAGTGCCAGATCTTGCTGTACTTTTTCTGCAGTTTCTCTCTTCAAGTCCTCCAGCTCCTTGTACATTTTCGAAATATCTTCCGAACCCTCATCTTCTGTAACCTCACTATTCATATCACTGTTTTTGATAAAGTCTGCTATTTCACCCTGAAGTTCTCCGAAGAAAGCCAAGTCCAAGTCTTTCGTTTCGCGACAACACATATCGATATAAGTGCTCTTTACGCCTCGTTTCAACTTCTTTTCGTAAAATTCTATCGTTTCCATTATATTTTGTTTTTCATCCGTACGGTCGATGGAATAATATTGCGGGTAACAAAAATGTGTGGGGACGCCACAGTTAAACAAAATGTCCATTTCTTGCGTAGATGGCGCGTATCCCAGTTTCTAGTTCCAAAAATGTGGGAAATAGATGTATGTATTTCACTAATGGCTTAAACGCGCTATCTACATTTGATTTCTGGATGCCCTGAAACAAGTTAAAAGAGAACGTTGGTAAATTTACACTCAGGCTCAAAAACATCTGAAATATACTTTCAGGAATCATTGCACTTATGTATTTGGCCAATATAGTTAGGTCTACATTCGTTTGGATGAAAACTGACATTTAATCTGGCTCTGATCCTTTGACCTTTCTCCTGAAAATACTAACATAGCAAAGCACATGTTTGTAGTTGCTACACTAAAGAATTCAATATCATCATATACGATTTGGATGAATAATTTGAATGCTTTTAGTTCAAATTGAAAATTACTATACATACATCTACTTTAGCTTCAATAAATGAAGCTATGCACATTTTTGGAATTAGAAACAAGATTTGTAAATGTGATGCTGCATTATCTACTGTACTTGGCACAATACTTCAAGTCATTGTATAACGATTTATAAGTATAACAAATAGATTACGCACTAGCAAATAAAAAGATCAAACTTAATAAACACAATAACTTCTGCTATATTTCTCTTAATTGGCTAATAAATGAAGTTTCAGCTACCAAGTCAGTCTGGCAGTAAAAATAAAGAATGAAAGAAAAGATCGAAGTTGAAAAATAAATACCAATAGCAGCAGAAAATAAAATACTCAGTTCATCATGTGATTCCATATATTGGCATAACCAAAGCAGACCAAACTTAATAATATAGTAAAAGTTGAAAAACGCAATATTTGGAACTCAATAATAGACTCTAATTTCTTAATTTTGCAATGTACGTGTGCATGTGAGAAATATTTAATTGTTTCACAGACATAAAATTATCTGCAAAAAAGATGAATTAAAGTTCACAACCTACAGTACTAAATAGCAAATAAAATCAACAATAGACAGTGGCTGCCTATCTCACGCTCTTTGTTTGGCCAATAAATAAGGCTTTTGTCTTAAACATCAATAATCAACTACTATTCCTGCTGGTTGCTGAAACGTCAATAAAGTGATTCATTCCACATCTGTGATTTCATCTCACGATACACATACACTGAAGATAGGATATTGCGCATGTGGACGGAGCTTCGTGACGTCACCTGGAGAGTTATCGTCTCGTGGTTACCAGCGGCAGGATTGTCGTAACGTGCAGTTCACGTGTACCGTGGTTAATATTATATAGTGCGATTTGATGGTGTTTTTGGTGGTTTTGTGACTTGTTAAATTAGTTATACATACTCTATATGCCCTGTGATGGTAGTAAATTGATAAAAATGCGGTGTGCTGTTGTAGGTTGTAATTCCGACAACCAATCTACACGGAATCCTTGCAAAGACATGAAGTTCCACAGTTTTCTTCAAGACCCAAACCTTAGCAAAAAATGGGTACATAATACAAAAAGAAAAATCAAAGTCAATGTAAAAAGCGTTAGGGTGGCACCTAGACCATGTACATCTGTTGATGGGAAAGCGGAAAAATGCTTACGAAAATAGGCAAGGGATCAACTTATCCCCTAGAGTTTAAGTATACGTAGTCATGCCATAAGTTCTGTCCCTCGTTTGCAAACAAGTGTAGACCTGTTAATACTTGTCCGATTGTTTACATTGTGGTGTCAGTTGATTAAGCGCTTTTCGGGTAATTACATATACCTCAGTTTGTATTGATCTCTCGAAGCATAACGATGGAGTGGGGCAAGGCAGAGAACCGTATTGCAGTGATAGCTTTACATAAGTGTAATCACAGTGCTAGTCAGATTTTTGAACTCTTACGCGGCCTTCAAATATCGCGTAAATTTGTGTCTAGGACCATTCAGCGGTACAATGAGACGTCCTCTGTTGATGACAGGCCAAGAAGCGGAAGACCTCGTCAAGTAAGGACTCCAGCAGCCATCAAAGCCGTAAAAGCCAGGATTCAAAGGAATCCACTCCGGAAGCAGAAGATCCTATCCAGGGAAATGAAGATTCCTGTCCGGACGATGTCGCGCATCATTAAACAAGACCTAGGGCTAGGGCTTACCGGAGACGTACGGGCCAGCGACTTACGGCCACCTTGCGACACATCAGGGCGACAAGATCCAAGAAGCTCTTGGAGAGGTACGCAGCTGGGGGATTCCGAAAGATTTGTTCACGGATGAGAAAATCTTCACCATAGAAGAAAAATTCAACCGACAAAATGACAAAGTGTATGCAAGGAGTTCACAGGAAGCTTCGGAGATCATTCCGAGAGTTGAGAGAGGCCACCACCCTGCGTCAGTCATGGTTTGGTGGGGGGGTGTCCTACGAAGGGGTCACTCAGCTCCATTTCTGTAAACAGGGCGTGAAAACAAAAGCGGCAAACTATCAGAGCGACATACTGGATCCTATCGTCAAGCCTTTAAGTGGTACATTGTTTGCCAACCAACACTGGGTCTACCAGCAGGATTCCGCCCCCGCTCACAAGGCTAAGAGTACGCAGCGCTGGCTGGAAAGCAATGTGCCAGAGTTCATTGCTGCGGAAGATTGGCCCTCAGGGAGTCCGGACCTCAATCCTTTAGACTACAAGTTGTGGGACCTGCTAGAGCAGTTGGCCTGCTCCAAAGCCCACCGTAATATCGAGTCCCTGAAAACGGATTTGATCCGATCAGCGGCAGCTATTCCTTTGGAAGCTGTGCGTGCAGTGATAGATGAGTGGCCCGCGAGATTGAAGCAGTGTGTGAAGGCCAAGGGGGGACATTTTGAATAAAACTGTTTGATTATGAATTCTAAAAATGTTGTCGAATAAATAATATCTTTCATATAAATATATCTTATCTTGTTTCATTTTTATCATGAGATTATCATGGGACAGAACTTATGGCACGACTACGTAGAATAAGGTCATATATTTTGGGGCGAAACGAAGACGCATACTCAGAGTATTGCAGCGTAGAGGGAGAGGATACTCCGGACATTCCACTAACCGCATCATTAACGAAGTATCAGTTGACTATAACGAGGAAGTTTTAAGGGAAGAAATGGATGAGCTCGAGTATGATGGGCTGAAAAATTTGGCCGGCTTTGTTTGCCATAAATTGCAGGATGACAGGTTGAAAAATTCCTCAAATGAAACTTACTCCTGGATAGACCATCTTAGTGAGAATGGATTATCAAAACCTTCCACAGCTTTCATGAATCAAATTGAGAAGCTTAACAAGGTGTTTACTACATTCAATGGGGACGGAATAGTGACAGACAAGCAAATTTTATAGGCGAACTTCTGTTGAAAAAGCAGCAACATTGACTGCCTGAAAAGGCTAAGAAACTATTTTCAGGTCAAGGATGTTCTTCCGGATTATAACAACTGAGTAAAAGTTAGAAAGAGCAGAAAATCGTGGAAGGGAAATGGATGGAAAATTGTCGCTTAGACTAAGAAATTGCCAGTTATTGTTATACTGCCAGCTTACTGCAAAAAGATGATAACTCCATTTTTCTACTTTTTGAGTTGCGTACATTTTCACACTTGCATGTAGTTAGTACTTAGGATGTTCTGTGAAGTAAGGATGAATAAATGTAGTGCAGTATTAGCGTCATGAGCATGTTAATCTGCTCCACAGAACATACTAAAATATAGGTAATGTAGAAAAATCTTGTTTTTACAGTAAAGTGAGGATACACGCTCTATTGTGAGATAGGAATTACAAGGTTGAAATCTTTTGTTTAAATCCGCCATTTTGTTTTGTATGAAATTTTAATGTAGATGTGTCACTCGGACCGCTAAGACGAATCCAACTACACCTCATATGTGAAAATCTATCAAGCCGTTTGAGATGTAGGTGAAAATATGCACGTTTTCCACATTAACCCAAATGATAATCACTCTCCGCGTGACGTCACGCGCGCCGGCGGACGAAAATCGAACAGCAGAGCATCCGGCACTGATTTCATCTAATGACCAAATCGTTCCATTTACTGATTCGATTGCTGTTTCGTTCATAAAGCCCTTTAATTTTGTTACCTATATCATAGGGGTGACTATGGTAATTATAATCACCATATTGGATTTAGCATGACAGCACATTGCTAAACTGTGTTTCTCTGATCAAGCCGCTTCACGTGTACCCATATGATAGGTGTTACTATGGAAGTGATGAATCGCCATCTTGGATTCAAAATAGCGGCAGCTAATTATTTTTATTTTCACGCGAACCAGAAGTGTGTACAAATTTCAGCTCATTGGTTAAGGTTAAATGATTCAGAATTCAGTTCCAAGATTTGTCCCACACATACATTCTGACATACTAACATACCAACAGGTCAAGTTATATAAAAGCAAGTTGAGTTTTCAAGACAAGCAAAGATTTTTGAAAGGAAAAGTGATAGAACGAAAGTAATCACTCGTCTCATTCTTCCATAAAAGCTGATATTCACAAACAATTTCAGAGTTGTACCTATTTTTTTTTTTTTACTCCAACTACCACGAAGGCCTAAGGCCTAAGCACCCATTGGGTACCGTGGGGCTATGGGGGATACATGGGAAAGGGGGGACGCCACACGGACTCTGGCGAGGGAACACGTGTGCATGCAACATGCACACATTCTGGCTCCGCCTACGAGAACCGCCGGGTGGTACCTCCGCGTTCGACAGTCAGAGACCATCTACCACCTACGACCTATATTTGTTAACAAATTCTGATTGAAGGAAAAATAAAATAAATAAAAATAAAATGCACAAAAAAATGAATTTTTAAAAAAAAAAAAATGAAAACATTGTTTTTTAGTCATATCTATACACACCATGAAATTATCAGATGAAAAGGATTTAGAATACTGCTGCAAACAGCAAGTTCAAAAAAAAATCTAAAAAAAGGGACGTGCCAGCTGTTCATGTGAAACGGCATTTTCTTGTACCACTTGAAACTTATTCATACAAATAATGATAACATATTTTATATTCCGGTCGACTCTTATGCAATTTTCGACTCCTAATGCTGCATCTGCATTTTGTTAACAAAAAAAAATGTTTAAAATAGTACTTCGACACCTCAAGGACACCATGTTGTTTTTCTTGTGAAGTATGTTGCAACAACAGTTCTAGTGGTTTTTTGTTCTTTGGCATTTGGCAACGAGATGTAGGATTCCGAGTAAGCAAAACTATGGTGACCTGCACCACGAACTTCAAGTTCATTTCAAGGTTAAACATATAATTTCAAATGGAACCCCATTTGGAAAGAGGACGAAAGCCAACATCTGAATATGACCTTGACGATGAACACAACAATCACCTTCGAGGCCGTTCACGCTCTGGCAAAAATGTTCGACAGCACAGTTGACCGTGACCATCATCTTGACCATGACCAAAGTTTGAGACAAAATGTTCAAAAACCCATCATTTTAATCCTGGCATTGGAAAAGCAGCAGTTACGTCCGAATGTGTCCTTGACCTCCAAGTCAAGGTCATGTCGATCTTAAATGTTATTTGTAACACAACCCCTTGATTTTTATGCTAAAATTCCAGAGGCCAAAAAATTTTATATTAAGGTGTAAATGTTTGGCCATAACCGTGAAGGTCGTCGAACGTTTTTGCTAGAGAAAATTTTTTCAACGTCTTGATTTGACCTTGAAATTGCCTCGAAGGTTTACACCATGGCTAAGCTAAGTGTTTGTATAGCACACAGCACAATATGTAAATGGGTACAAACCAGCTTAAACATATGAAACAATACCATATGTTAGTGAACATACACACACTAATCTCCTTGCCACTCTGTCTCACTCAGCCTAGACTTTCGCTTCTCAGCCAACAGCCTAAGAAACACTTTTCTTTTGCTCTCCTTAACTGGACGCGTGGTTTCGATTATTACCTGATCGGGGTATGTGGCTAGTCCAAGTTCTACCAATCTTGTGTTGATGCAAAATGGCTTGGATGGATTGGTGACGTCGATCAGGTACACTTCCAGAATTTGTTCCTGAAACGATAAACTTTGTAGTCTGAAATCGGTGAAGAAGACTGATGAAGCTATTATTTCTAGCAGCGTTTGAGTGATGGGGGGCACTTAGCCAATCAACGAATTTAGACTAGATAGATGGAGTCAGTCATGGATTTGTGTGTCTCCTAATTCTCATAGTATGTAGTAAGAATCACAGTGCACTTGACATAAGTAAATTTTCGCGGTTCTGTCATTAATTTCTTATATTTTGTGTTATTTTTTTGAAAAGTGCGAGTGTTTGCAGATAATTGTGGTGTAAGACGATTTCAGGACATGGAACTTCTTACATAGTTTGCAAAGAGAAGCACAAGACCAATGAAGGCAAATTTCCACCACTAGGTTATTTTTATGTTGATACAATGCTGTCACTTTGGCAGGCATTGGTAGACAAATGAATCACTATGCACTAAAACTACACAATTTTGTCGACAAACAACGCATTGTAAATTATAGACTTGGCTCCTAATATTTTCGTATTCGTTGGTCATGATGTATTTATTATACAGGGTGATTCACAAAAACTTTTTTTTTCATATCTTCAAAACCATCAACTGTAATGAACTAAAATTTGGTATGCGGATTTACCTAAGTATTGTCCACATTCAAAAGTCTTTATTTACAATTAACGGGCACAGTGGCGGAGATACAGGTAATTAGTGACATTATTTTTCCAAATATACTAAGTGACATATAAATCCGAACACCCAGTTTAAATGTTTTTATTTTAATAAAATTTTGTACAAGTACTTAATGAAGCATAATAAGTAAATGATAAAAATTTCAAAATGATTGCACTGCTTTAAAGCCCTTTGACCTTTAATAATGTGTGGATGCACCCTGATGTGCTACGCATTCTCCAACGCGCCTAGGCATGCTTCGATCAGGTGGTCAATGTCCTCCTGTGGTATCTCATTCCAGGCAACCACCAACTCCTCTCGAAGTGCTTCTAGAGTCTGAGGAGGACGTTGCAAATTGAGCAATCTCCTACCCATCATATCCCACACATGCTCAATTGGGGATAAGTCGGGAGATCTTGGTGGCCATGGTAACAATGTGACATCATTATGTTGAAAGAAGTCTATTGTGACTCTTGCAACATGTGGTCGGGCATTATCTTGTTGGAAAGTTGGATCTGCCAGGGTGTCAAGATAGGGTAAAAGATGGGGTTCTAGAACTTCGTGGATATAACGCTGCGCGTTCATGTTGCCTCTGATGAAGATTAAAGGTGACCTGGAACCGTAAGCTATAGCACCCCAAACCATAACTCCAACATGTGTGATGAACATGTCTTTCAACAAAAAACTGTGGATTCCTCCTTTCACCACGTCGCCTTCTAACCCTGGCACGACCATCGTGCATGCCTAAACAAAATCGAGACTCGTCACTAAAGACAATACTGTTCCATTCCTGATCCCAGAGTGACCGTTGTCTGCACCACTCAAGGTGATTACGTCGGTGTTCTCGAGTTAAAGGAAGGGCCGGTATGAAACAAGCCAAAACTTCTCATTCGTCGGTAAACACTTCGCATGCCAATAGGTCTTCCGTGTTCTGCAAACCATTCATTTGCAATGGACCTGGTAGTGGAGAAACGGTCCCTTAAGGCCAATAACTTAGGCGGCGATCTTCACGGTCTGTTATTCTACGGCGGCGTCCAGTGCCACTTGCTCTTTGCGTACGGCCTTCTCGAAGCCATGCCTGACAACACCTAACCACAGTGTCTACACTTCTTTGCACTCTAACTGCAATTGCCCGAAAACAAAGTCCAGCTTCCCGAAGTCCCACTATACGGCCCCTATCAAACTCACGAAGTTGACGAAATCGTACAGGATTCCGTACTCTAGACATCGTAACCGATCGTAAAGGATGTCAAGAACCAAAGTTAATGAATTAAAAAAAGCAGTATAAAAACCGGAATGTCCAACTGATAAGGCTGAAATTTTTTCACATGTTATTTACAGTAAGATAAATACATTCACCAACTTTTATTAAAATAAAACCATTAAAACTGGGTGTTCGGATTTATATGTCACTTAGTATATGTAAAATAGTACGCCACTGTTTTTTTTTTCGAAACGCGTAATTTTTCGAAGTTTCAATTGACTACAAATAATTACTCTTGTGTTTTTTCCTAGAGTGCATTGTTTTCGTAAAAATGAAAATAAAACAAATTAGATCATTCGTGAAGGGCCGAGATACCATAAGTTTCAAAATAAAATAGGAGGATTGTCCCGCTAGTCTCGCAACTTCGCAAAATCAAAATAAGTGAGGTAGCAAAACAAGAGCACTAAAATCTTGAATAAAACGACTATCCACTCACCTTCCTGTTTATCCTAGCCACTTTAGCATCGATGGTTCGATCCCTGGTCATGTTTCTGAACGTTACAGTGGCGTCATGACTCCAAGGCACGCATTCTTGTGTCGGGCAAATGTCGGCCAAGCGACACCGGATCGCTTGCGCTGGCAGCTCAGCGAACCTCTCGTGTAAGAAACAGATGTCCTTGATTGGTACTTTGGTCATCGTACCGTAATCAATGAAACACCTGATGATAAAAATGGGGTCAAGTAGACTCGATACTTTCCACGCAAACCCGTCATCAATAAGGTTATGTTCGGATTAGAAAAAAAATCGACCAAAAAAACTGCATTTGAGATATAGAGTCAACCTACTTGAAACAGATTTCTAATACACTCAATATAATTGCAATGTTTTTTTTTATATAACAGCATTGATCAACTTATTCTACTTGCAGATAGCCACTCATATACTGTATTCTGGCGAACAAAAAAGGCACCTGAATAATCCTAGCGCCATCTATCAAACAGAAGCAAAACACAGAAATGAATTTAGAAACCTACTTTGAAAAGAGTTACTGTTTGGTTCTGCTAATGACCAAGATGGCGCTAGAATGTTCAATCCCTTGTTGGCACCTCCCCAATGCTTATTTTAATTTGGTATTTCACCTGGAGATACCCAATAAAATAGGTATTAGAGAGGTGCCAAAAAGATATTGAAGATCCTAGCACTATCTATAAGACCAGAGTCATAGAACCAAACACTTTACCGTCAATGGATATTTCTAAATTCATACTTGTGTTCTGCTACTGTATCATAGATGGTGCTGTGATCTTTCAGATCCCGTTCTGGGCACTGGTTGGTTATTTTCAAGTATACCCTAGTACCAAAATGGAAGAGAGTAGAGCGACATGCCTTTGAATAGGCAAAAACGATGAGCGCGGATCCAAGCCCTATTCAAAGACGCGCGATAACAGTGGCGTACAATGTGCTGTTACTCTCTTCCGTTTCGGTTCCAGACTGCAGAATTCGTTAATCAATGGTTACAGTATGTAAGAGCTGGCTTGCAATAGCTGCTGAAACGAAGGTCCCTCTAAAAGTTAACTATGCACATCTATAAAAAATGGGTCAAGTGTATTCAAAAGGCTCAAATGAAATCGAAGCTTGACTAAGTACTACAAACCGCAATTTTCAAATCCCACCAAAAAAATCTGAAAATGAGCTGGTGTTTCTGAAACCTCAAAAAACGAAGTTTCGGCAATTTTTGTTTTTCTATTTTTTGGCTGTAGCTTCACGGTCACTTGATCGGTTTTCAAAGCCTACAACGTTTATTCTTCCTTGGCAAATTAGTAACTTTGAGTCAAAACTTCTTCAAAATTTTTGTTTCGCGAACATTCATTGGATTCCCGCGCACACCTCTTACTTAAAACGCAATGGAAAGACCTATGCAATAATTGTGACAAGTCATTAGAGGTAATTTCTACCAAAAAGAAATCTCACTGTACTGGTAAATCATTTTGCAGAAATGGAAAAAAGGGTTTATATCAAATTAAACAGTAATATAAAGTAGCTTTGCTAAAATGTTTTTTTTAGGTAATTTCATGATACTTGCCTTTATACTATCTTTGACCTCGGGTAAAACATCAACAATGACTGCCCTATGATACTCTCCATAAATAATTTTTGCACAGTAGACCCCTTCTCTTATCAAACTTTCATTCATCGAGTATCGAGGCATTTGTTGCATAGAAATCCCTAAAATGAAACATTCTGCATTATATTCATTGTCATGTTCGCCGCATCAAAACAAATACAGGTTAGGCTTATGTTACGAGGGATGTCTTTTAAGTTTTGCATATGGAAGTAAAACAACATGGTAGGTAGTTTTAATGACTATTGTTTTTCGAAGTATTCTCCACGAAGACTAATACACATCTGTATGCGCTCGAACCAATTTTCGAAGCACTTATTCCACTCGTTTGCTGGCAGATCCAAAACGGCATTTTTGAATGCGTCAACTGCTTCTTCTGGTGACTTTAACCTTTGACCACGCAGTCTGTTTTTAATTTTCGGGAAAGTAAAGAAATCGTTAGGACTTAGATCGGGACTATATGGAGGATGGTCCAATAATTCCACGTTTTCTTCCGTTAAATACTGCCTGTTTTTTGGGCTGTATGCGAGCTTGCATGTCTTGGTGGAGGATGATTCTTCTTTCGGGGATTGATTTTTCGAAGCTCGGTGATGACTTTGGCAAGCAAATGTGGTATACCAATCCGCAGTAACAGTTCTTTGCTCATTAAGAGGAATTGTTGCAATATGACAAATGTCGCAACCATCTTTTTCGAAACACTTCACCTTGGAACACCCAAACAGCCGACTGTCGTTTATTTTCTGGTTCATAACAGTAATCCACGATTCATCACCACTAAATGCTGTACACATTTTTTGAGTTTGCGGAATTGAAACGGTCAGCGTTTTTTGACACCAATTAACCCTGGCTGCTTTCTGCTCTTCAGTCAACAGGTGGGGTATCCAACGAGAAACTAATTTTCTTCCTCCTAATTCTTCATGTAAAATTTTTTGAATTGAGGTCTTTGAGATCTTCAAGGACGCCTCAATCTCGCGATATATCACATGTCTATCTTCAATAATGAGTTTGCGCACAGCATCGACGTTTTCCTGGGTGACTGCAGTTTTGGTGCACCCACCCTGGGATCGTCGCTAAGACTCACCCGTCCAGTTTGAATTCTCCATACCAACGGGAAATTGTCGACTGATGTGGCGCTTCGTTGCCGAAAACAGACAGTAACTCAGCAAGGCATTCTTGTTGCGATAATTGTCTCTGAAAGTTGTAATAAATTATGGCGCGAAAATGTTCTCGGTTGAGTTCATTTTTCTAAGACTTGGTGACACTTAAAAATTCACTGTAGGGAAAACACTGCACGTATTGGTAACTTTGATTTTAAGTTACGAAAGAGTAAGGTTAAGACAGACTGACGGTTCGATCCGCGCGGCCACGATGTTTCATAGGCCAAACTTAAAGACATCCCTCGTACTTCTGATGGGCCTAAAAGTTACGTGATGATGAGTAGGACGAAGCTACGATTATCCGAATGTCAATATGCGAAAGAACTGGAACCAAAAAAGACATACTGCAATTCATCCATGAGATTGTCCAAATTTCCATAATCTAAATATACCAAAACTTGGACAAATCAAACACTTCACCAACTCCAATCTTGATTGTATCGCCCTCCTTTGTTTCAGGTGGTACAAACTCTCTAGGTATTTCGTTACCAGGTTTATATACGCTTTCTGGCAGAAAGCTCTCCACATCGTCCCACTG